AGTCAAGGGTTCCAAGGCTAAGGTGGCTCCAGCTTTACTGGTGGAAGAGCTGGGGAACTTGTCTTGAAGTATTGCAAGAAAGTACAAGTTTACTCACAGGTGAAGAACACTTCGGGATAACTAAGGAGCTGAAAAACTTACAAAGGACTAAGGCACCCTCACTGGGTTTGACTGCCTCCCAAAACACCTTGGAGCGTTCAGGCCAAATTTATTTCCTGTAAGAAGAGCCCACTTCAGAAAAGCTCAGAACAACCTGCATCCCATGACTTGGGGATTTTGTTGTTGTTTGTTGGGATTTTTTAAGGTTCTTCTTTTCTTTTTTTTTTTTTTTTTTTCATTTTTCCTGTTTTGTTTTCCCGGGAATGGGGTGGTTGTGTCCATTTTGGCCTTGATTCTATGTGCCCCTGTATGCGTATTTCAGGGCAGATTTTATTCCCCCTTCCACTTTCTGTGCCTCCTAGACACGACCCTCCCCCACCCATGAGAAGGAATCCAAAGAACAAGAGATCTGTAGTTGGGACTGAAGAACACGCATTTCAATATGGATATGTATCCATTCTAACTGCAATATCTTTTGTGGAAGTCAAGCTACTTAAGGCAATTTCCATAAGATCCGTCCTAGAAGAAAAGGTTCGGTGGGGACAAGGTGAGAAAGCTGTTAACTATTGTCTGGGCCTGAAAAGGTCGTAAGTCAGAGCCTCAGTAGCTGACCTGTCAGGGGAAGGTATAAAGGCTTCATTCATGCAGTTGCTGCAACGTTCTCAGCTCTCACAAAAGCGTTTTTATGATTCGATTTTCTTACCTCTTTTTTTAATTAAAAAGCTGAACCGTTAGAATAGCACCTGCATCGGTCCTGACAGTGCCTGCATACTAATTCCAGAGTCTTTACAGCTTGTAATTATAACATAAAATCAGAGATTGAATAAAACAGAAGGATTTTGCTCCCAAAGCCCCGCTAATCCCCTTTTAAAAGGGTCTGGTGAAATAATTCACAACAGTTCCCGGAAGTTGGATTACCACTCAGTTTTTTTTTTTTTTTTTTTTTTTTTTTTTTTTTACTTTTTACAATGAAATGGTATTTTACACTTTTAAGAAGGCTGTTTTTTTTTTTTTTTTCTGTAGCAGTTTTTTATTACATTTTTTAAATAAAAGAAACTTGGCCAGCTTTGAGGACAACAGAAAACATTTCATTGTGAATTTCTTATTAAATGCAGTGGCAGAAAATGTAGGGAAAATTTTGTGGTATGTTTGAAACATTTTTCTCAGGTGAAAGTGGTTAAAGTGTCATGAGGAACTGCTTATGTGCATCAGGCAACACACTTCTCTCAGAGGAAATAAATAAGCAAATCTTTTGGGGACAGAAGCCTATTTTTCTTCGCTTAGAAATATAAACATTTCAGGAAAAACATTTTTCACCAAGATGCTGGGTGTATTCTTTAAAGAACTAATGAATACATTAATGAGTTCAAAAGCTAGAGGCCTCTGTTAAACTCTAAGTAAGACCTTGCAATGGCACAAATAAAGAACCTTGAGCTGTCTGCAGTTTCTCCTTAGTTTTGGCAAATAAGACTATTCTCATCTGGCTAATCTGGTCTTTCATGGGCTAGCCTTCAGTCATAGACAAGAGAAAACCAAATCGTTCTTCTGATAGCCTATATACATCATTTAATGTTGTTATTGGCGGATTATTTTTTATTATTTTTGCAATTCTACACTACATGTCACAGCTATGATGATAGATAATTCTCCAATTTTGCTTTCTTCCCTCTGCAAACATTTCCCAAGGCTGCTCATTCATCGTGAGGTTTAGAATCATGCACAGTCTTGCTCACCTTGTTTTGAATTGATTGTCCTATATTTTTGCCCATGTAGTCTAAACTGGCTGTAAATTAGAAGAAAAGTAAAAAGAGGAAGATGGTGGGCCAAGTTTCAAAGTGCACCCTCATGGTCACATTTACACTAGATTGACCTATACCTGTACCTAAGGTATTTTTTTTCTTTCTTTTCCACGCAGTTGCTCTGGATGTTTGCAAAGCCACTGGACAGTTCAGGGACAAAACTCAAGAACTCCCCAAACTGTCTACTGAATTTCGTTTTTTTTTTAAATAACTTTGGGGTCTGAGCTCCAAAACATTCCCAGGAAACATTCACTTGTTTTTCTCATTGGAGATATTTGGGTAAAAAGGCAAAGCTATCCTGATGTCTAGTTGGTGACTGATAGAATATGTAATTTGGGGATCTTTGGTTACTTGTTGACTAAGATATTATTAATTTTTATGAAATGAGGATTTAAGAGGAAAAAAAATAATTGTAAAAAAGGTCCTGATGCCTTACTGGGAAAAATGTATCTTTGTGTGACTTGTGCCCAAACACCCTGTCCTCAGCCTCCTAGCTGCCTGCCCCCTCTCTCAACTCGCACTTTCCCATTTTACACACCCAAGACTTGAAAAGCCTAAACCGCAGAGCTTATGATAAAATAAATTGACACAAGGCAGGCTGAGCCATTGTGCTTACTGCAATGCCAGTCTTAACAAGTCATAGGGGTGACATTAAGGCGATTGGTTTCTTCAGCTTCTTTCCTCACCAAAATAAACTCAATTCTCTCTAATTTTTCTTGTGCCTTTAAAAACTAATTTACATTTTTCCCTCAGTGCCCGGGTGCCCCAGACTCTGGAACTCTCAGAGAATAAACTTCTCAGTTGATCTCAGAGAACAAAGTGACATCGGGGCTCTCAGCTATCCTTCAGACTGCCTGAAGGAGGTGCACGCTGCTATGGAGTTTAGGGTCCCTGAGAGCGCCACAATTTCTGTTAGGGACTGAAAATAGTTATCTGATTCAATGAGGAGCTGGGGGAATGTGTCTGAAAGACAGAGTCCCAAGATAAGTAACAGTAATAACAACTAGCACTAGCAAGTACATTCTAAATGTTTAAAGATTATCTTATTTAACACTCAAAACAAAGTTGCAAAGGAGGTTCGTTTTAATTTCATTTCACAGATGAAAGAACTGAAGCACAGAGGTTTCATCACTTATCCAGGGGCACAGGGCCAGTAGGTGAACAAGCGGGGCAGACTGCCTCCTCTTCTCCAAGATCTTTTCACCAGGCCAGCACAGTGTCTACCTGGTTCTCTAATTCGGAATAGCGAAGAAGAGAGCTGGCTGAGGTGGTGGGATCATTAGAGCCTAAAGCACGCCCAAGCTTCCCTGAGCATTGCCACTTCAGGGTGGGAGCTAGGTAACTTCCCCAGAGAGCAAGAGAGGTAATTCTAGGATGAGGCTAGCCAATCGCACTTGGGGACCAGTAAATTCAACCCTCAGTCAAAGGTTTGAATTTATTAACACAGTGTAGAATCAAAAAGTTGAAAGGATGCTCAATAAATTGAATTCAACTCTTCCAAACAATAATGCCTCAAAGGAAATCTAAGCTCTCCTAGTGGCTGGGGGCACTGAGGTGTCTTTAAAAGCACTTTCTCTTTCCTCTTCTATTGCCCCGCAATTGGAACTCGGAAGGTTCAAAGACAGGCCTTTCCTTCTCCAAAACCTGGTCAGGGAATACCAAAGACAGCGGAGCCTCCCGGGCATGCTGTCTTTCTTCTGCATTCTAGGGAATGATTCCGGCCTCAACTCCTGGATGCCCTCCTGTGCGAGGCTTTCTTGGGCAGAATGGGAAGGTGCAGGTAGAAGGGCTGGGATGCTCTCTGGAGCCAAAGTCAGGCACAGCTGTGAAGACTCCAGGCAGCAGGACTGAGCAGAGAGCTCCGAGCCCCAGAAGAGCCCTGACTGGAAGTGCCGGGTTCATTCCTAATCCCCACTTGCTCCTCACCACAAAGTTCTGTCCGTTAAAGGGCTTTAAAGAGCGCTCTTTCTCTAAGAGGCCGGGTGGAGGAGAGGCCTCTCTAACCTGGCGCTGGGCCGGAGGAACAGGGCCTTCCGCGAAAGGAACGGGAGGGGGCGCTGACTCCAGTGTTAATGCCCAGGGGCCTCCTTTCTCAGGGATTCCACCGTCTTGGTTTCCCCTCGTGGCCTCCTTTATCACACCGGCGCGTCACCCTCGCGCTTTGCGCGCTGGGGTCCTTTCTCTCAATGTTTTCCCCAGGACTGCAGCCCTTGCTCTACGAGTTGAGTCTCCACGGTGGTTCTCTAAGGAGACCAAGCATTCCCACCCGAGGTGTCGTCTTCCCACTCCATCCAGCCCCTTGCCCCAGCCAAGCCCACGAGAACCAACTTCTCAGGAATCGAAAAGGTGTCAGACTAACTGCTCGCTGAGGTGGCGCCTGAGCAGTAGGTGCTGGGGAAACAAGGTGAGTACCTAGAGGTCCAGTGACGACGCAGTGGAGAAGGGAGAATGACTCTGGTGATTCATTTGAAATAAGTTCGCCAGTGGCTGGGCCAGATAAGAGTGTGCATACATCAGATGCTGAAACCCACCAGATATTTAAATTGGAGCCAAGGGAAGTGTCATGTGGGCTGTAACCTCCGAGTCTTCAGACATAGACCTTCGCAGCTATCTGAAGGGAGCCTTGAGGTCTGAAAAATCGCTTCTCCCGGAGGGGCGGGATCCAGCTAGGAAGATCCCTGCGAGCGACTGTGCCTGAGACACTCCATCAGAGCTTAGTCAGGTCTTACAGCCGAACTGCCCTATCTTTTTCTTTCCTTGTTTTGATTCTTACCAGCTACTGTGCCCTTCTCTGGGAATTCAGAGGTGGTTTATTAGAGGTTGCTCTGATTTGGAAATGTAGAAAGGTAGCTTTTCCTGGCAGACACTGAGAGCATCCTTTCAACTTTTTGATTCTACACTGTGTTAATAAATTGGTTGGTGATGTCAGTGTCATTGGGAGTAGAGAAGTCTTTCTCACAATGGACACTTTAGGGGGTCCCTCTATTTTTCTGTCTGAGATATTTGTGTGAAGCAGTGAAGAAAGACTGAGGAGAGAACTGGAGGCTTCTGAAGGGCCTCAAATCTCTCCCAGGATGAAGAAACAATAACAGGACACCAGGATTCAAAAGAGGAAGGGAAACGTCACATCATTTATTTCCAAAGAAAATAGCCAAATGGAGCTCCATGTACACAAAGGCCTTTGGAGGAGAAAGAAATCACAGATTTAATATCATTTGCATTTACATATTTACAAGATCAAGCCATGGCTTTCAACTTTGTTCATTCAACAATCACTTTCAGTCAAACAACTTTTTATTTTCAAGTTAGTTCATAATTTAAATGACACTAAGGAGACAGATGATAAATCACAAACAGTGTGGGTAGAGAGGGTACAAACAGTCTAAGGTTTTAGCCAGGCTTTTGTGTATATGTGAATTATGATTACAAAATGTTTGCCTGTCTGTGTAATTCGCATTCATTGCAATTATTACATTTTCCCATAAATTAGCAATATAAACAAACATATGGAGACCTCCAGTTAACAAATAAAATCAATATCAGAAACAACATTTTGCAGCAACTATAATAACAGCATGGGTTACAGCTTGGAAAAACTTCTTTACAAATCATTTATACAGCACACACAGTGTGGGGGGACCAGCACATTCTTATTTATTTAAATCACCTTTAAAACCACAACAGGAAGTTTGGGAAAATCTGAACTGGTTTCTTTCCTGGGCACAACATAAAATGAAGAACTGCACATGTGGATGAGGGGGAGGATGGGCATTTACATGCATTTTGGATCACTATGTTGTAGACCAAACCTTCTAAACTTCAATTGCCAAGATTTTGAAGGAAACAGGAAATTAATAAAACATCTCTCTCCCTCACCTATTCTCCTTCTTATCAATGGCAGAAAGGGCTTTCTGATTGCTGCCAGTGAGAAGAAACCCACAATGGGTATATTTTTTAGCAGAGGTGTCTTTGAAGGAGTGGGAGATATTAACAATTGCTTGGCTGCAGTCTTAAGTTCCACAGATCCTGGGCAAGAATATTAGGAGCCAGAGGGGTACCCAGAAACCCATCCAGGTGACCCAACTTGTGCTGAGTGAAAGCCAGAGCAGAAAGAAGCAGGCACTCAATTATGGACTTAGGGTTTGTATTCTGCTTGCACCTTCTCTCATTGTTTTCCTTAAGTCCCAAAGCTTGTGCCAAGGGCCCCCCAACATCTGCATACTTCACCAGGCCAGGCCCTGACCCTGATGTCTAGGCATTGCTTTTGTTTATCCCTTAGCAAGACTTAGCCCTAAAGTTATGTATTGGTGCAGTATGTGGATTCTTTTTTTAAAGAAGTTTGATTTTTATCTCTTTAGAAACGGTTTGAAACTAACGGGGCAGAGGGAGTTTGACAGAGAGGAGAACAAATCGCTGACAAAGAACCTTTTACGTTTCATCAGCGTTGTTAGGACGACAAGCAGGAATGTCTTAGATAATAACTCCCACTTCAAAGATTTCTCAGCTCAATAGAAAGCGGACCATCCTTTTTATTCAACCACAAGGACTGGCACTAAAGAAGACTCCACTGTTTGATTTTTTTTTCACCGTGTTTATTTTTCCCCTATTCACTGGGGTACTTGGATAAAATAAACAACAAGACAATTAAGGGAACATGGACTTCTAACTTTCCTGCCATCTTCCCCACATCCCCTTGGCCTTGGGCTCTTGAGTTTGCATCTAGGACAAGTTCAGGCCTGAGGGTACCACACACACTGCCTTAGAAAGAAACAAGTTTGGGGGGTCGCAAGAGAATTATGGGATGGAGAGGAAGAAGAGTGGTACAGAAAGCCAGAGAGGAAATGTCCCAAGGGTACAATTTGAACTCCTCAGACACCCCAGGGTGACTCCCTTCCCCACAAGTCTCCATCAAATTTAAGCCTCCATCCTACTCAGGAGTCAGAAAGGCGACTTGCACAAAACTGAGCTAGGAATGCTCATTTGTTAAGCTTCTGAGGCTGCTTTAAAATTATTTACTCCTGACCCTGGAGCCTCTTTGGGGCGCAGTCAAGAGGCACGGAGTCCTGCTCCTCCCTTTCCTGAAAGTGTCCCCTGCACCAAAGCCTCCCACATCAGGGTGCAGGGTGAACCCCTAAACGTGGGCAAGTCGGGTTCTAGGAAGGAAGTATATACTGGAGAGCGCAGTGACAGTATTAAATGGCGTGAAAGCAAAGGTCAGCGCAAATGTATCTTAATAGAGTGTCTGTAGTGAAGTGTGCCGCCTTTGAAGCGACCGCTCCCCGCGCTTATTTCCATGGCGAGCCTAACGCGGCATGCTGATGCACCGTCAAACTCACACTTTCAACCCCAAAACCCGATTCTTTGAACAACCCGAGCTTGATTAGACCTTTCTCCTTTTCTTTCCCCTCTTACAAACCATTTCCTCGCCTTTAGAAACTCGCCATCAAACCCAAATGCGCCCTCTGATCACCGCAGAAAGCAGAAACAAAGAGGGCTGAGCGGCGATTCAAGCGGCTCTTTTCTTCCTTCACATTATTATCCATTTTTATTATGATCGGGTACAAGTGCCCATTCGCGTGGGTTTTGTTTACCGGAAATTAAATGAAAATGATTTAGTCCGCGTCAAACAAAAATATATACTTGTATACACAAGAAAAAAGGTCTGTTAGACGTAAATATTATGTCCTTAATGAAAAGCCTGGACGGGCTCCAGGCTTGGCCTTTCAGGATTTCACTGCGACTTGCCCATTGCCATAGAAATCCTAACTTACCATGAAGATGCACCGTGGCGAAGAAACACTGCTTTGTGCGCGGACCCTTTGATGTCGCAGGCGCGAGATGCGGGGCGCTCAGCTGCGCGGAGCGAGATTACCTTGCGAGCAACGAGGTGGACATCTGTAACAAGCAAATGAAAAATTAAAGGCGATTAGTGGCCGACCAAACATTTTTGTTTTATTTCATTATTTTAGATGGGGATAGAAGGCAAAATGGGGAGCCTAGAAACAGAAGAGAAAGAAAGGAGTCCTGCTTCAGGAGGGGGGACTTTTTAAACATCGGCAGAAGCAGCAAGTTCCGCAGATGCCCTCTGCACCTTAGTGGTGGGGTCGGTGTTTCGCGGTGGGAAAGAGTTGTTTGTTACCGACTGCCTGCGCTGGGTCAGGCAGCCTCTGGGCCCTATTGTGTTAGGGGGAGGCAGGAATTTCAGCTCTCCTTTCTCAAGGACGGATTCACTAAGGGTGTATTTGGAAGACTGCATTTCTTATTTGGAGCCATGAAAACAGTTCCACTCCAGTTAGGACGTTATTTCATCTGATAAAAGTTGTGGGGACTGCGGGCAGGAGTGCTAATTCTAATTGTATCTGAAGAGGAGAGAGCAGAAGAAAATTCATCAGTGGCAGGTCCAAGACTTGTTTGTTGGGCTCAGCTTTTAAAATTGAGCTATTTAGTGGGGTCCTCCCCAGAGGGAAAATCCACCTCCCTTCCCAACACACACACACACACACACACTGATTTTCAAATTCTTAGGGGACTGGAATGAATCTGCCAAAGCTTTATTATATTTTCCTCTTCTTCTTCTTCTTCTTCTTCTTCTTCTTCTTCAAACCTTAGCTAGGATTTTGGGTCAGCCCCCTTCTCCTGCAGAGAGGAGAGAAACAGGACCTGATTTTTCCCCCTTTGACAACAATTGCAAAGGCCTTCCTCTCCCCTGCCTTCAACACCTGGTTGTTTTTTTTTCTGGGGACTTCATATACAGCATATCAAATACACATTCAATCTAGACCCACTGGGTTTTTGCCTTTACAATATTTATTATTGTGGATCATTTCTCTTGTCCCTCCTCCACCTCTTTAAAAATAAGACTAACATTGTGCAATTGTTGACAAAGACCATCACCGAATTGACGCTATTCAGCCAGACGCTGCCGCCTAGGTCAGGTCCTTCCACTTTAGAAGCCTCGACTCAGTGACGTCATTGGCTCGCTCTACACCCGGAGCCCAAGCACCTACAAGACTCCACAGGCAACACCTCGACAGGGGTTGGGGTGGGAAAAGGACCCGGGGAGGCCTCACTGCATTGAATCCTGAAGCCTCTTTGGCGTTCCTTTGTCTGTATTTCCTGTTGTTTTGAATTCACTCCCTACCCCAAGTATACAATGTATGTCGAGTCTGTGGACGACAGGCAGATGTTTCTCTGTGTGCCCAGGCCACTCCATGGGGGCGGGAGCGTATAACCACCAACCGCCCACAACCGCCGAAAAGATGGTGAATCTCCCTTATCTCCTTTATAAGGTGGCTGGAAAATTAGTACTTACGTATTTTTGTTTCAAAGGATAGCTGGGCAAGGGGAAACCATAGGAAGACGAAGAGTCAAGAAAACGGCTCTGGAATTTCCTTTGCCCTCTTCTCTTGATCTGAACTTCTGAGATTGGAATTAATGTGGGGGAGGGGAGGATTGGAGCGCAGGTGGGAGCCGCCCAGTCCTCGAGAAAAATATTTCCCATTCTGTAAAGCATGCATAAATTCTCCAATTTTTTCCCATCGCCCTGTCTCTCTTCACCCCTAACACTGGTTTTATGCTACACAATTATGAAGGCACGAGTGGGGGTGACGGTGCTGAGTGTGACTACAGAATAAATATGGGGACCATATTTATATTTAAAAATAATGGGCATTATATTAGCATATTCAGTGAGCTCTAGCGACTATTACTGGTGGCCGGGCGGCCTTCCTTCCTTCCGCCCTCGCCCTCTTCAGGCCTCAGAAACCTGGCCTACTCTGCAGTCCGTGTGTGTGCCGAAGCAGCAACCACAGAGGCAGCCTTAATATAGGAGGCGGCGACGGCAGCAGCAACAGGGCCAGGTGGTGGTGCGGCACTGAGGGGCTTGGCGGGGGCAGCCGCGGTGGGGCCCAAGCCCTGACACACGTACCATTCGCTCAAGTCGGCGCCATGCGCCGCCACCGCCGCCGAGGAGGCCACCTGAGACTCGTGGTCGCAGTCTGACGAGGGCGACACGAGGGCAGACGGTGTAGCCGATTCGTAGCCAGAGCTGGGCGGCGGTGAGCGCCCGTGCACCTTCATGTGCTTACGCAGCGAGCTGGGGTGCGTGTAGCACTTGTCGCAGCCGCGCACCTTGCACGTGTATGGTTTGTCGCTAGTGTGCACGTGCGAATGCTTCTTGCGGTCGCTGCTGTTGGCGAAGCGCCGCTCGCAGCCCTCGAACTCGCACCTGAAGGGCTTCTCGCCTGGCGGAGGCAACGCAGAGACATTAGTGCTCGCGGATCATGTTCCCTTCAGGTGCTCGCCACCCTCCCCCATTAGTCTCTCATTTTCTGGAAAACGACTACAAAAGATTTTCAGAAATCCCTTTCCATGGCGCCTCAGGTCGAGCACCCCTTTCCCTTGCGCAGAGAGCGCCCCGGGCGCCCTCTCCCGAGCGCCTCCATCGCTCCCCCGCCTTCCCCGTCTGGGCTCTGGGGGAGGGCATGGAGGAGGAGCGACAGTGACTCCATCTTAGTCGAGTTTCCATCCTCGGAAATCCTGATCCATTCGGGTTGTTTCCTCCAAATTTTCTCCGCTTGGAACAAGAAGCACGTCTGCTCGGAAATATATTAACCGGGGAGCTCACATCTGCTGGATTTAAAGTGGCTGTTTCAGCCAAACGTCTCTGCCGCTACCCTGCACAGCCGTTCATCCCTCCCCACCCCCATCCTGGCTCAAATTGTTTCCTAAAGTAGGTTTTGTGCAAACGCCAAAGCGATGAAATAATTTAAGGATGCGCAACCGATGCACATAGTATGTGCATAATGTGGATTCATGCGGCAGGGAAAGGTATTCTGAGCAATGATTCACTTCAGAGGAGATTTTTACAGGATATGGAGCCCCCTCCCTCTTCCTTTCTACCCCCTGAGGGCAAACATTTAGCAGCATTCTTCAAATCTTGCCTAAACCTTCCGGGATCCCTCCAGATACTCGCGCCGGCAATAATATTTTATTACGGCGCTCCAGAGGCCTCCCGGAGACCGAGCTGTGGGCAGCTGGCCCTCCCAGTCCAAACTGACTTGCGAAGTAGACCAGGCTCCCCAGACCACCCCCACCTGGCTGTCGGGCCTCTCAGGCCTAAGAGGAGGGGTTGGCGCGGTAGGCTCCCCACAGGCTGAGCGGGATCCAAGGTCTCTACTGCAACCACGCCCTTGAGCGCTGCGGCTTCGGGAAGAGAACAGCGGCTGCTGTCAGGCCAGGCCGGGATCCGCAGACTGGAGGGCGACTGGTCGGCCAAGATAGGCCTGGAAGGGGCTGGGATCCGGGGCTGCGATGCCCTGTAGAGCCGAGGGAAGGCGCGAGTGCGCGTTAGAGTGAAAATATTGGCCGGACCGAGCCCCAATCCGGGAGCTCACGGCCACCTGAATTGGCTGACGTGTGGGAGAGGAAAGGACCCCGAGAATCCGGAAGCCTAGATTCGTGCCGGAGCTGAAGTGCTGCGGAAATGGGGGAAGAAGGTGTCTGGGAGCTTTAAACAAATGGCTGCCTCCCAGCGCTGAGTTAAGGGACCGGCTACCTGGCGTCTAGCTGAGGAGGAAGACGCACGGCTGGAGAACTGTTGCCTTTGCTTCTCCCGCTGCATCCAGGAAAGATAGGCGCTTTGGGGCCGGTTTGAACGAACAAAGCCCCGATTCCCGAGCCCTGCTGAGACTCGGACAGAGAGGTTTGCGCATAACCCGCGCTTCTACGCAGTCAATGGCTTCTGAGCCCGGGTCTCCCGCACCTCCCGGTCGCTGGATTCCCACCCTACAGGAGTACAGCTAGTACACCCGACCCTCTGGAATGTGTTGGCACCTGCCATTTCGCGGGACACAGGCACCATTTTATAAAACAGTGGGAGAAAGATGCAGAAGAAATCAGTGTTCCTATTTGCCCCTTGTTTTCGCTCCTCTGATTACTGTCAGCATTTGCAAACCCAAAACTTTTTTCCATTTCAAAAAACAAACAAACAAAAAAAACCATACAAAAAACCATGAAATTCAGGCCCTGCAAAAGAAACCAAGGTTATTTTGAGAAAACAGAGGTGAAATGGAATTTGAGGTTGATGCCCCCCACACCCGAAAACAAGTTCCCGCCAAACACTTATCCGATCTCGTGAGCGCCTCGCTGGACATTCACGTAAAACAAAAACAATGATTTCGCTCCAGACGAGGAGCTGAGGAGAAAACAGCGGGGCACTGAGGTGATACCCGCAGCCGGGAAGTTCGCAGGCCCCTAGAAGACCAGGTGACGCCGTGCCCCAGCTCGCTCCAGAGCTGCAGGAGGCGCCCTGGTCTCCGCGCTTGACATCACCCCCGCCCCCCGCCAACACCCGGCCTCCAGTCTTACCCCTCCCTTCAGCTCCCTGCGCTGAGCCCTGGGTGGGTGGGTGAATGTGGAAAGGCAGAGTTGGCTAGGCCCCCGCAGCCCGCTCGGAACGTCCTAGGCCTGGCTGAGCTGTAAAAGACCCAGATTCTCCTCCTAGAGGTTCCGCAGCCGGGAAAGGCCTCTCCGACTCTGCGCGGAGCCCGCACGACAAAGTTCGGAAGCTCGGGGCAGCTGGGCCAGCGCCATTTTCTCGCACTTGTAGCTGGATCTGGTTGTCCCGGCGACTGCGCCCCGGCGCGGTCTCTTCTCCTCTACCTTGGATCCCCAGCACTGACTCGCTATCAGACGCCGGGGAAGGTGTGGCGAGCTCCCGGCCGAGAGGTCCCGGGAGAGGAGCTTGGCGGCAGTGGCCAGGCAGAGAGCTGTAGCTGGCCCGCGCCACCCTCCCTGAGGCACCATTGTTCCGGGATCGCTGTGACCGCCACAAAGTGAAACCTTTCGGTGCTGACAGTCGCCTCCAAAGCCAGACCCGGGATTCAGGTCAGGGAGAATCTCAGCTCCTGAGAATTTTGTTCCTGTTTGCCGCTTCCGCGACTCGAGGAAATGAAACGCCATTAATATTTGAAAAGGCAATTATTTTCCTGTTGAATCGAGAACTGTCTTCATGAATAATTTGTAGTGAGGTCTATTGCCATTTGAGAAACATTTTGGTCTTTTTTTCTTTCTCTCTCTCTGTCTCTCACTCTCTCGCTCCTCTTCTTACTACTTAGAAGGGAGATTTGAGGAAAATGCCAGAGCAGGCGAGACTCTAGTTTATTGGTGGTAGGTTTTTTTTTTTTTTTTTCTCTCACCATTAATGAATCAGGCCCGCGAGCCGAAAGAACGCACAAAATTCTGTCCTGAAAAGACGAAAACCTGAGCCAGCCCTGGCCCACTGAACTTGCTGCTCTGCTGTAGGTCGACTGCGCTAAGAATTTAACCATTTTCTGCTTCACAGACTTCAAACAGTGGGCCGGCAAAGAGCAGTAAAAGTTTGTTTGCTTTAAAAAAACAACCCTGTCATTAAAGATGAGTTCCTTCTCCAGCTCGGGACTCTTAGTTTACCTTCCAGGAGTCGGCCGCCAGCTCCTGGAGTATCAGGCCTGGGGCCAGGATTCGGGTGTGACCTACCACCCCTTCCCCGAGATAAAACTTCCGGGGAGGGTGTGAGATTCATGCGACAGGATGGGGAACCCGGGAAAGAGCGTGGAAAGAGCTCTGGGAAACCGTACACTTCCAGACAAACTTTAGAAATAAAGTGCCAGGCTCCAAGTGGACTTTGGTCTGGTCTCCGCGTGTGCCAGTGTCCGGGCCACGGACTTTCCCAGGGAAGGGAGAGTTGGGGAGAAGAGAGAATTGAGCAGAACTAGCCTTAGGGAGTTCTTTGACTCCAATTGTTGTAGATGTTCCAGCAAGAGTAGAAGTAAGGCAAGGCACCGGACAGTTGGAGAAGTGGGGCACCGAGCTAGAATTTATTTTATTTTATCCTGTCTACACCAGCCTCTTCTCCCCTCCCCCAATTGGGGAGGAGAGAAGACGTTGATTTCTTAAACTTCCAGGGAGGAGGAGCGAGAAAACCCTAGCTAAGCAGAGTACAAACAATGGCTGCTAAACTAATTAATGTAACTTCACAGACTGTTCTGGAAGTGTGAAAACTTTCTCTTTGCAGTTGCATTAATTAGAGATGCTGTGGCCAGAGGAGTTCAATTTTGCAGGCTCTTGCACGGGACTTTTTTCCTGTTAACTAGAAGTAGCAGATGTGGTTGACACATGTCCCCGTTTCCCGTAACAGCTCCGTAAATGACATTTAAGGTGGATAGGTCCCGGTAGGTCTGTGCTAAAGCAAAAGTGAGGGTTCACAAGCATCCCTAGTGTCCCGCCACCAAGGCTCACAAAAAGGTACAAAGTTAGCCCATTCGACCCCCAACTCCTAAAGAAGGCTCCAGGGCCTGGTGACCTCTTAGTACAGGTGGGCCAGGTTATCAGGGTGACAGGTGGAAGAGTTCTGGCGAACAATTCCAAAGGGCCCAGGGAAAAAGTTAGACAGCTGTTCTTATGTCTTTACGACTTTGGGGAAAAATGCTGTTTCTTAATATCTTAAAATCAAATTCATAAGCAGAGAGCACATGTTTGCACACACAGGGACTTAGGCACGTTCACTCTTGTCCCCCAGAACAGAAACCCCGCACTATCCTCCCTACACGCAGCCTCCGGAAACTTCTGTGACTCTAAGAATAGAAGCGCATAATTAATATTTTATGGCCTTGGCTCATGGAAACAACACCAAAATATTTCCCCCCTCCCCTCAGTTGGGACTTGAGGAAATGCAGACCCGAGGGCCTGCTTCCCCAGAGAGTCCGCACGCGACAGACAGCGCCGAATACTGACCTGTGTGAGTTCGTTTGTGTATTTTGAGATTTTCTGATCTAGCAAAGACCTTCCCACACCCCGGGAAAGGACAAGGGAAGGGCTTCTCGCCCGTGTGCACGCGGATGTGATTTACAAGTTTGTATTTGGCTTTGAAGGGCTTGCCCTGGCGCGGACACTCCTCCCAGAAGCAAATGTGGTTGGCCTGTTCCGGGCCGCCGACGTGCTCCACGGTGACGTGCGTAACCAGCTCGTGCATGGTGCTGAAAGTTTTGGAGCAGAGGCGCAGGGGCGCGGTGCCGTCGGCCGCCAGCCACTTGCAGATGAGCTCCTGTTTGATGGGCTGGCGCATGTAGCGGAAGAAAGCGCCAGGACCGTGGGGCGCGGCGAGGTTCACCGTCAGGTTCACGCCCCCGTAGCCCTGCAGGGCTGCGGCAGCTGCCAGAGCGTCGCTGCGGGCCGCAGGCCCCGGCGGGAAGGGCTCTGGCCGCGCGTACATGTCTCCAGGGAGCCCCAGACGAAGGAGTCCATTCAAAGAACGGCTGGGGGAGGCCTGGGGAGGCTCCTCATGGAGGCCCGGGAACACCGAGGGGCTGGAGGCGGCGGTGAGCTGGGGGCCATGGTGTCCAGAGCTGCTACCTGTTGTCGAAACAAATAGCACGCATGAGAACGGGTAGCGTGGGCTGCGCGCTCTTCCCTGGGCCCCGGGGGGCAGGCCCAGCCCAGCCGCACTACGGCCTCTGTGATCAGCGGTGGAACTCAGAGCTACACGGCTCCAGCAGTGAACCAGGTGGACAGAGAAAGGCCGAACGCCTCCGCCGCCCTTGGGCCGGGTTGCTGTTCGGCCAAGTCCCCTGCCGTGCCATGAGCTGGAGAGGGACGGTAGCGGCAGAGTATATGTACGGGGTACTGGAAGGCGCAGGGCTGTGCCTGTGGGTTGCTGGGGTTTCGGCTCCTGAGGGGTCGGACCTGAGTCCCAAGCGCACTTTGGTGGCCAACACTCTGGGGCGCTCCGGGGCACGGTGCCCTGCCTGGAAGTGGAGGTGATAAAAATGATGGTGTTGGAGGCGGTGGTGGTTCTGAAGCGCCCCAGCTATATACATTAATTTCAGTGCCCTGCTTGGCTGGGAGAGGGCGGCCTGCTGCATGCCAGCCCTGGTTGCCCGGGGCTCCCTGTACCGGACCGCTAACGCCACTGTCACCTGACTGTGGGGAGGGGAAAGGAAAGCCACACAAAAAACTTCTGCAAAGTTTTTTTTTTTTTTTTTTTCCCCTCTTCCTCTTTTTCTTCTTCTCAAGGTTTGGATTTGGGTGCCCCCACCCCTTTGGTTATTAATGCCTACGCAAAATCCTGTAGACTACAGAGGCAGCAGCAGGGCGCGTTAGGAAGTCAACAGAGATTCAGGGCCGTGGCCCGGGCCCACAGAGAGGAACAATTGCCTGGGTCGCCCATTGGCCCGCGGCCGGGCCCGACGTCAGTGATGACAGGTCCTGCAGCACGCGGTCGGTCTCTTTCTCTCTCTCTCTCTCTCTCTCCTCCGCCCCATCCCTCGCCCCCACCCACACATACCCTGCTTCCCTCCCTCACTTCACCCCCACGGCATCTCACGCTTCTACTGCTCATGCGCTCTGACCCGGGCACAAATCCTTTTCTCTCCCCTTGAGCCCCTTCCCCCTCTCCGGAAAGCTGAGTGGATCAGCTTTGCTTCAGGGCTCCTGAAAGTACTCGGGGCTGCGTTTTGCCACCATTCACCACAACTTTGGGGAGCCTTGCGCTGAGCCTAAAGTCCTCTCGGGAGCTCAGTCGGGGCTGATAGGTAGCAACGAGTGCTCAGAGATGGCGGTCTAGTTGGGCAGTTTGTCCCTGTAGCCCGCAGGAGGAGGGGGTCGGGATCGAGGGACCAAAAAAGGCTGCTGCCTCGGGGGCCAGGAGGTGAGAAACTCCTAGGCTAGCCGTCCTTGAGCCTAATGTTATATTTTTGCTTTCTCCGAAATGTTTTGTTTCTCTCGTCTTTCTGGTCCTTTTCGTCTCTCTTATTTTCCCCAAACCCGCTACCTCACTTTGTCTTCCTTTCTTCTCCCCTCCCCCTCTCTTTTCTCTCTACTCTCTTCCCATTTAGCCTGGCAGGCCCCTCCCTCCCCGCCCCCTCCGTGTTGGCGAGCTCGTAGAAGCGCGAAACCCAAGGATCTGGCCCTGACCAGGGCCAGTATTAGGCGGGAAATGGTGACAGCCTGGAAAGGCTGGGCTCGAACCCCTGCCTTCCCGAGAGGACCCTCCCCGCCACAAATCACACCCACCCGCGGGCTAGCTGGCCAAAGAAACAAATAAATCGGGCGTGCATCCAGGAGAAACAGGTTTTCGCTCTCAGATCTTCCTGGGCCAATCAGGGATCCTGAGCTCTATACCCTGCAGTCTTATGGAGCCTCTGGGAAAAAAGGATTTAAGGGTGACTTCCACTTTCAGCTTGGGCTACTTGTTGCCTGCGGTCCGAGCCTCCTCTGCCTCCCTCCTAGCTCGTCTCAGGCCTCTGTAGAGAGTGCACGCCGCGTTTCCCGGTCTAGGCTCTAAGAGGGCCTGCTGGCCCGTGGCCACCTCTCACAAGATGGCCTCGAGTACTAGGGGCGCCACCTTAGAGGGATGGTGGTCGGTCCCAGCGGTGGAAAAACTTAAGTTCTGGCCCAGTCGAGTGTGGCAGAAGCCCGGGGGCTGGGGTTGATGGGCTGTGAGGGAGGTCGGGCTTCCTTTGTCTGCTCTGACCCGCTAAGGTCAGCTGCGAGGTCCGGCGATTTAAAGGGCTGCTGGCCGGAACTCCTGCATTGTCGCTGCAGCCAAAAATGCCAGCCTAAGCGCTTGGGCTTTCCTGGCGGCCATAAAAAGTGCCCCCTAAACAGAGAAAGGCTTGTATTTTTAAGAAAAGTTTTAAAGATTGAGTAAAATATCCCATACTCCTTAGCAGAGGCAAGAAATTTGGGCAGATTACCAGCAACGCTGACTAGAAATTGAACTGTCCCTCTCCCCACCCCCAGCACCAAAGACTATTCTCACACATTTCCTAGTTAGTAAATAAGGCTTTCTTTTAAATTTTTAAAAATAATTAACTGATGTATAACAGTTGGCAGATTCTTTGAGACCTTCATTTAATGCATTGTTCCCCGCTTGGGTGCACTTTAGGGAGGGATTAACTTCTACAACAATTTATCTCCACTTAGACAAGTCCAGATCTTTCTGCTCCTCCTACAGGAAGAGCTTAGGTAACTCTACCAACAGATACTGTGCCAGTATTTTTTTTTTTAAGGTAGAGGAGAGTATTTGATTGCAAAGACCCCCACTTTCTACTCTCAAAACCAATGGCCTCCACACAGCAGTTCTGAGACTAGACTCTCAGGATTTGTCTCCCTGGCTTTTACCTTCTCCCATGGTTTACCCTCCACCAACAGACAAGGCCTCTGATCCTTCGCTTGCCTTCCCCTCATCCAAGTAGTGGCCTGGCCAGGTTTCCAGTGAAAGGTTTCTACATCTCAATGAGTCATTTAATGTCTCTCTACCTCACAGGTATCTGTTGAATAATGCAATTGTCTAGGCAACACTGGACTGACCCATGAAGTTCTCCAAAAAGCAAAACAAAATCCAGATGTGTTCTTCCCTGAGACTCCTTGTCCAGCTCTTTTTACTATCCTCATCTCAACACAGAGCTTAGTCAATTTCTGTAGCATTCAGGTTTAAGTGCAGGGCCACCTCTGCAATAATCTGGCAATTAAAATATTTTTTCTCCACTGGAATCTAGGTAATCTACAACCAACCAACAGTTCAGAATTTTTGTCAAACTCATCCACTTGAGCTTTAACTCTCTGATTTGCACAAATATGGATTTCTTTCTTTCTTTTTTTCTCCCCCACCCCCCACAGATGGAGTCTCCCTCTGTCGTCCAGGATACAGTGCAATGGCACGATCTCTGCTTACTGCAATATCCACCTTTCAGGTTCAAGCAATTCTTCTGCCTCAGCCTCCCAAGTAGCTGAGATTACAGGCACCCAGCACATGCCCAGCTAATTTTTGCATTTTTAATAAAGACAGGCTTTCACCATGTTAGCCAGGCTGGTCTTGAACTCCTGGACTCAGATGATCTGCCCACCTGGGCCTCCCAAAGTGCAGAAATTACAGGCGTGAGCCACCATTGTGCCAGGCCTGATTTCTTAATATATATACTATGACCCCACCTCCATCAGAAGCTTTGAATAGCAGCACAGACAGGAGAAGAGGGGGTTTTAGTTGTTTCAGGCTGTGGACCCCTTAGGGAGCCTTTTGAGCCTGTTGAACTCTTAATAGTCCAGTATTTGCTGTCCATATTCATCATAGAAGAAAACACTAACTTTCCAATAGAAGGCTGTGAAAATAAAGATGCATTTTTTTTTCCCTCATCCAAGTTTGTGGGCCCTCTGGAATTCTAACCACCGACTCTCTGGACTCCAGGGATAAGAAGCAGAGGTTTTATACACATAGGCTGTTAGCATACCACACACTTTCTCTTAGTCACTTTGCTTTTGAAAAGCTTTGAACTTGCATATGACTTTTTTTGTGCCAGCAGCAAGAGGGCAAACACATCTGATTCAGCCAAAATCAAGGACAGTAGGCTGGCCCCATGGAGCTCCTTCCCAGATGCAGCCTTATCTTGAAAGCCAAAAACATCTGGGACCCATTCTGGGTAGCTGCTTCTTGCTTGAGTAGCCAGGGGTCAGTAGACCTGCAGGTCACTGAGGTTGCCTGATCTTTGCAAGTTCCTCAGAGCCATATGGTCTATATCTTGGTTGGCTAAACACAGCAATGGGTTCAGACATTCTCCTAGAAGGATATTTCCCCAGAGACAGCAATAAAGAAAAAAAGGAAATTGTACAACTAATATTTACAAACAAGAAACTTTGGGCAATTATATAAGGGTCTTCAAGGTATATCTTTGGAATAAGCTCCAAAGCAGTGTCCAGCTAGAGGTGGTGGGTCATCAACATCTGAGAGACATATTTTAATCTAGAGAGATCTTTTCAAGTCTTCCTGAGCCCAGGAAGCAAGGAACCCAGGCTATAGAGATTGTAAATTGAGCAGGCTAAGGAATGGTGTCTCCTCAGTGGTCTTCAGAGTTCTTTTTCCAGAAACATCTCACTATACCTGCCCCCAACACCAAATGCTTCACTGAAGCATTCTATTCCTTTTTATGCCTGGAGCTATAGCATTTTTAATTCTATTTTTCTGCTTCATTTGTAGAGAAAAAGAATATCCCACAACCCACAGATCTTTAGCAGATGTCAAAAAGAAACAGTGGAAGCTTGTTTTCATGGGAACCTATTTGGAGCATATTCTACCACCTGACTCCAAATATCCCTCAATCTTCAGAGCCTCTGCAAAGCAGTGCCCAGAATCATGTCCTAAGCACTTTTTCTCACCCTGCTCAGACCAAGACAATGATGTAAACAAGTGATTTCCTAGTTCCACTTTGTAGAAATAGGACATTTGATGGCTCTACCATCTACCAGAGCTCCTTAAATCACTGGTTTGAATGTCTTTCCATTGAAAAGGAAAAATATGTAGGATATTTCAGATCAACAGCTGGGCTACTTTTTCATTTTAATATTTTAAGCATTGTTAAATTAAATGATGATTATTTGTTGTAGGTTATGCCCAGATCAGGAGGTGGGCCCTAACCAGCTGTGGGCCACTGTTCCTGGCTAGGAACAAGTCTTGTTATCTGAATGTTCTGCATCTAAATCAGTAGTCACTTGTTCAGTTCTTTCTTCCCTGTTTCTGGTCAGGTTGCCACCCTAAAGAGAGGTAAATTTCTTTAGAGGCTAGTCACAGACAGACTTCAGGATTTCTACAGAAGGAGGTTGCCTTTATTCTTATGCAAAGAAATAACTTAAGCCCCAGCAGCCCATCTGTATTTCTGAGTCCAAATTGTGCAAAGGAGATGAGCTCTATTAGGATTTTGGCAATGAGGGAGGATATTCTTCTCTGCTATAAAAATTTGAGCTTTAAATATCATTAATGGGACTACGTATGGAAGAAAATATACTTGGATAGACTTTAATTTCTAAACAAGGATTCTACAAAACATCCTGTGACAAAATCTTAGGAAATATTGCTTTTGGATTTTCTAAAACAGGATTAAGGAATCAAGACAACTGAATTTACATAATAACTCACACCTCTCTTGAGACTTTTGCCATCAAATCATCCCCAGATAATATAAGAGATCCATTTCCTGAGTTGTCTATTTGACTTTTGTTAAGAGGGTTGCTTTGCCTATCAGTGAGGAAACATCATTGGAAGCAACCACCAGCTAGCGATACAGTTGAAATGAGGAAAACTAGACGCCTGGAAGGGAAAACACACAATCCTAAATCATATGCTTATTCTAAATGGAATATTAAATTAAATTATTCACAATGAAGGTATTCCTGACAGAGCGGCTGTCAGTCACCCCCTGTTCAGACACCACATTGTGGGAACCTCATCGCTACCACATTGCAGAAGGCTAGTATCCCTGGTAAAGATGATGTATATCATGTAAACCCCATCACCCAGATCAAAGTCTGCTTTTTTCATGGAAGCCAATACATGTCAAACCTCATTCCAATCAAATCGTCTGGAAATGAATTCAAGATGAATATGTCATAGAATAATGTGACAGTGGAATTGCAGAAGGTCAGGGGTGGTTGTTTCAATGAGAGAGTCGTCAAATATTAATTCTGGAACGTCCAGATGAGTAGGCATTGAGGGGGATTAGCCGGCTGCTGGTGGGACGTCGTGTCATTGATTTGTGTGCAAATGTATTGAACACCAAGGTGTTCTAAGTTTCATTTGAACTCAAGAAACTCCCCCCAAACTCTCAACCCAACAAAAACAAAAGACAAAACAAAACTTCCTACTTAAAAATAAGAAAAGAAACCAGCAAACCAACATTCAAAAGAGGATTTTAACTTACTTGATTCTTTCAGAGTGTTTCGGTAAAGCCGTAATCGTTTCCTCATCACCAAGGATGCCTTGTATCTCATTTTCTGAGTTTGAGCCTGTTTGGGAAGAAAAGAGTGACAGTCACTAGTTAAACAATTTTATACACCTGTGTGGCAACATTCTGTGGTTTGAATGTATGAATGAAAGAAGGTATTGGTCTGAAGAAAGGCTTTTGGTCTTTGACAATTTTCAAATTTTGAAGCTGAAGAAAAGGCTACTACCAAGAACTGCCCATATTGCAAAATGATATATCTTTGGTGATAAAAATGTGGAAAAATTGTAATTTTCCAGCAAGGCTTTTATCTGAAACTCCTTTGTTTTTTTACCTTGCAAATAGAAGTAAGCTCTCTTTTAGTCAGTGCTCAAAAATCTGTAGCTTCTCGAATTTAAATTAATTGTATAAGAAATCCCATTATTTTTCTGAAGTTTATTAATTAAAATTTAGTGAGGTGTGGTGGGGAAAGCCTACCGAACTCTGAGAGGTTAGCCGTTCAAATTTGAGTTATAACTGTTGGAACTGAGAGGACAGGAATTCCTTTGCAGGTTTTCAAACCCTGTCCTGCCTGTGATGCTGCAGAATTACTTAGCCTCACATTTCCACACCCCAGGCCCATTTGGGATCCATCACCAGTTGATTTTTTAAAGCTAATATAAAATTTGTCAGATTAAAAAGGTATAATTTTAATCATTTGGTTCGAATCATCCACATTTCATATACAAGAAAGGTAGAAATAATACCCCCCACCCCCAAGATATACACATTACTTATCAGATTCACTTTGTGGCTAAAGCTACCAAGCCATTGGCCATCTTAAATACTTAAAGCCATCCTGAGGACCTCTGCATCTGTCAGGCAAGGCTGAAGGCAGTTGAGCAGCCAAACAGAAGCATCTACCCGCCCCGACCCTCAATTTGGCCTAGAAAGAAAAACAGTCATTGAAAAGGTCTCAGGCTGGACAAACACAGCAAGTCCTCTGTCAATAGGGATGTCTGCCCACAGAACAAGCAGTTGTTTAACTTGTTGAACCACAGGCCAAATCCAAGTGGGGCTCTGTTATCTTAAAGGGTATCCAGTTCTCTGTGCACAAAAATCTCTCTCTCTCTCCCACTCAACCTCCATCAAGAATTCCAACTAGCTTGGCGGCTTTTACCATTCCATCTTCCCTCCTTTCTAGGTCCAGGCCTGAGAGGCAGGGGTGTAAACTCACCTTTTCCCAGAGGGTATTATTATTTTCAATTCTTTCTAACCAAAATGCATTCTTCCCCAAAGGTAATAAGCTCCTTCCAGCACGAATCAGGAAAGAAAGGAGGCCTAACTTTGCATTCCTACAGAAGGGCAGCATGCTGGGCGTCCTCGCTCTGAAATTTCCTCATGGCAGGATGTCTGGCATGGAGAAGTCCTGGTTGGTTGGCAATAATAGAATTTACTTTTTTTGCTTCTGGGGGAAATGGGTGTAATATTCCCTAGAGATTTCTGTCCACCGGCAAAGCTACCTCAACCCAACTTCTAAGAGGACTGGATCACTTCTGTCCCAGGTCCTGTCAGCCTTTTGTACACTACAGACCCATAGACATGCAAACAAATGTTGCAGAGGTCGGATTAGGGCAGGCAACAGGGACTTTAGGAGACTTTGTAGCATTTCCATCACCGAGCCTATACAGAGAGCCAGGGTAAACATCACCTTTGATTCAAACTCTGACACCATTTAGCAGACAAGCCTGTCATCTTGCTGAAGGGTAGGTGAGAGGATTTGGGAGGAATCCTTGGGCCCCTGGACCTGAGGACTCAAACAACCCCGGAATATAGGAACTCAGTTTAGTTTTTCCCCAAATGCTTGCTCCCCATGTCAGCCGCAGCCTCCGAATTTCCAGGCCATAGCACATCCTGGAGACTTTTTGGAGTCTTCCTTTCTGCCCCTACCTTGAGAAGAGGAACGGGTGCTAGGGAGCCCCAGTGATTGATAGTGCCAGAGGCGAGCCAAGAAGGTGGGGCGGTGGGTAGGTGCAAAAAGCACCATTTTTATTTGGAGGAACCTCAGAAGCTGCAAGTGGTGGGGTCGACCTAGCCAGCGCAGGACTACCCAAGGTCAGAGGTCAGCTGCAACCAGAGACCATTCAGTTCCGGAGCTGCTTTTTACTGATTCGCCGGCAGGCTCGGGAAAGGCTTGGCCACGTCTCCGCTGCAACTTGTCCCTGGCGGGCGCAGAGCAAAAACCCTGAAAGCTGGCTGGCTTGGAGCTCCAAGCCAGAGCGGCTGTCTGATTTCCCGATCTGCACCCAGGACATTTTTGGCTCCCCTCCATCTGACCCTCAAGCGTCAGGAGGTTGAACTGCTGAGACTGGGTTAGGCAGGGGCCTTTACTTACTCTCCTACTCTTTACAGGGAGAAGCTCGGATTTCCCAGCTCGGGGCTGAAGTGTGGGCAGCCTCCTGGTGCCCAGAATAGTTTCTATCAGTAGATCACCTGCAGGATCATCTTGGGCATTTAACCGTCCCTTTGAATCACCCCTCCCCCAACATTTAGGGGGCTGAGATAGGAGAAAACTCAGCGGAGTGCAGTGGTATGGGTCGCTGCGAGGCTAATACTGTCGGAAAGCGGGGTAAACATGGCCTTGGAATCCAAAGACTTTCCTGAAGACGGTGACTGCTGAAGTGCAACCCTCCAAAGCCCTTTCCGCTTTCCTAAGACTTTTCCATGGGCCATTCATCAACCCCAACTTTTAGGTCCAACCTTCGAACCAGTCCTAGCTTTCTTTCACAGCTCAACTCCATTTCCTCACTTGCCCCTAATTTCCAATGCCCCTGGGTCTACGCTAGGAGCCAGAATCCTAGGGGCTGCGGCCTGCTCCCCAGAGAACTAGTTGCTGCTCTTGTTCACATTGGAGAGAAAGAAAGCCAAGTCTCGAACACACTGCTGGCCATAAGCAGAGAGCAGATCCCAGCAGTCAGCTTCCTGAGGCAGGACCAAGATGAGGGAGGACAGGGAGCCGGCCCGAGGTGGACTCAGGCAGCATCTGCCCTCAGGTTGGGGCGGAGAAGTTCCATCGTCTTGCGGCCAGCTGGGCTAACTTGGCTCTTTGACCCTGGAGAGGGGAAGCGGAGACCCTCCTCACCATTCCCTTGGGGGCAGAGCAAAGAGACCGCCTGTAAAGGCTCCCTACCAGCACCTGCCTTGCTCATTTATCGCGAGGGAAGCTTGGGGCCACGATTCCCCTTCTTGTGCCCAAGGTGGGGTACCTAGACAATTTACAAGGAGAGAAGGAAAGGCGGGCAGGCAACAAGCTGCTCCCGGTTCCTGTGCCAGTGAGAGCCCCATTTGTCCCCCTTTTCCCTCCTCCTGGGAGGAAGGGATGGACTCATCCTCAGCGCTGCCCCTCTGCGGAAGGGCCCCCCTCCTTCCCCTTAAAGTCAGTGGGGTGGGGCCTGTATCCACGGTTGGGGTGGAGGAAGGAAGGAGGAGATGGGGCAGAAATACAGGCTGGGCCTTTTCCCCCACTGGGGTTTGGGTGCCAGTGGCCCCCTTGAGAGTACTTGCTACCCGGTCTCTGGAGGTACTGGTCTCATCTATCTGCCCCCTGGACTGATGCACTTACCCCACTCCACCTGTTGCCAGGATCGCCTCATTTCTGCACATCATTTCGGGGTGGTTGAGAGGGGACCACAAACCCCTCCAAGCCTCTCTTTTGTGGTTCCAGCGAGGCGGTCATCCTTCATTTCTCCTTTTCCAGCTTTCGGGAAGCAGTTAGGGAATGTATGATGAAGCAGAAATGAGCCGTCAGGATGATATTTTAATGGCTTATATGTCACGTTGGTGCATGTGGCTTTGAACTGGAGCCGCTCGCGTTTCCTGCAGAGAGCGCCGCAAATCCCACTTGATAACTTCTACAACCCACAACTTTTTTTTTCTCACATTCACTCTTACCTTGTATATTTGGATGTGTTTCCTAAAAATACCCTCTTGTCAACGTCCCCGTTGGATTTTCCACAGACTGGAGAGAAGAAGACTGACTTTTCTTTTTTGAAGAATTATTTTCCCTCTCCCCCTCCCAACAGCTACCCTTCCCCCTATGATCCCCTCCCTTGTAGGATTTTTTTTTTTCCTGAAAGGCGGGTGAGGTGGGTTCAATATCTGTTCTCCCTAGTGAGAGGAATACAGCCTCTAGAGAAAACTTCTTGCAGATGAGGTTTGCTCAGCTCCAGGGGAAGTAGGATCCCTTGTAGGTAAAAAGACTTAGTGACTCTGATATATCTTTTTTCTCTAAGAAAAAAAGTGTATAATAATTTTAAAAAATGCCTCAGCGCTTTTTCCCCCTCCACTCCTCATTCCATTCCATTCTACTCAAAGTTGGTGGGTAATGCTGGGCTGCTAGATTCAGACTTGTTGATGGGAATAGAGCAATTGATTTTTTTTTCTTCTCAAATTTCTATTTCCCAGCACAAGCACAAATGCTCAGCCAGGTCCCTTCAGGCACCGAGAAATTATCCCGGATACCCAAGCCGACTTTTGAGCAAGCAGATCCCATGAAAAGTGCAGTCCCTCTGGCCAGCCCCAAGCGAGAATCTAGTCGGTGAGAAGACCAGAAAACCATAAAGGCGAGGAGCGACAGACGCTGACCCTGCCTTTCTCCAGCCGGTGCAGTCAGCGCCGGCGTCAGGGCAAAAAAAATATACTCATGTTCATTTTCCTCTCTCTGGGGCACTGGTGAGTTTCCTAACCGGGTCGCCTGTGAAAGGATGAGTTGAGGTTTCTTTGTCTGGAAAAGAGTTTAGGGCTTTGATTCAGCTGCAAAGAAGCCAAATGAAGTTAGAAACAAAGGGTAAATTGAAGGATTCCGACTCTTGGCTTTTTGTGTTTTCCTTACTAGAAAATAATTAGACCTAATGAATATGCAGACACTTCAGCTAAACCCTCGGCCTGGGCTGCTGAGTTTTAAACAGAGCTGCGGAGAAATGCAACCTTCAGCCCCACAACCCCCCGCATCCGCGAGCATTTTTTGAAATGCATAAATGTTGCTTGGCTTAATTGATTGAGTCACAGGGATTTTTTTTTCCTGCTTTTAAGCACCATACTCCCCTACCTTTCAACAATCATTTTAATATATAGTCAATGGCTCTTTGTGGACAGGACAAAAAGAAACTACGCGCAGTTGTTGAATAGACTTTGCACTAGGCAAAGACAGGTTAATCGAGGGCCGCATCGCGAAAACAAGCGAGTGTTGTATGTTTGCACTGAATCCAAATGTCTGCATTTTCCTAACTAAATCAAAGGGAGTGTTATTTCTTTTTCTGTTCACTCATCTGAAGGTAAGTAAATTTTCTCTGGCGATCAAAAGCCTGGTCGGCAACAAAGACCGCGCCCGCTTTTTCCACCGTCCTGGTGTGGCGAGTTGCGGAATTTCAATAACTGTGACAAGGGTGACTGATTTGTGAACTAGAAAAGGTTTGAATGTCACAAAATTTACATTGGTCTTATCTATTGGGGATTTAAATACCAAAAAAGTATTCGGGGATCTCTAGGGAGCTTTGGGCAGTCCAAGGGAACAATGGCGCTTTGGGAAATTTACAGTTTTACCTGAATGAAAGGGGCCCAAGTAGGGAACAGGAGACCAGAGAGACAGAGTTAGCAGGGGCAGTCGAGGGAGACAAGGGAAAGAGAGAAAAGAGAAAAATAAGGAAGGAAGGGAAAAAGAAAAGGAAATTGTCAACAACGTTTCAAATTTGCCATTAGAAAATTCCAACCCCAATAACCTGGGAACTTAAGCGCTTTCATTCACGTGTGTGTGTGTGTGTGTGTGTGTGTGTTTGGGGGGTGCGGTGGTGCAGGAAGTCTGATTAGATAAAAGTGAGGAATACAGAGGCTACCGGTTACACCGAGAAATTGCATTTCTTGTAAAGAGAGCATAGTGCCCGTGTGCTCCCAAGATCTTAAATTATAAACAGGAGGGGGACTAAGCAAGAGGGAAACAAACTTCAAAAGGAGCAAATAACAAAAGCCTTTTTTGCTGCCCTTGAATGGGGGGAAAGGGGAAGAAAGAAAGGAAAGTTGCTGAATCGGGACATTCTGGAAGTGCCTTTGCTGTGTTTACCAGCCCCATCCCCGCCTCCTACGCCAGGAGACGCCCGAAGTCTCTAATCGCTCAGCGAAGAGTAGGTTTGGGGAAGAACCGCGCGGAGGTGTGAGGGGGAGGGCAAGGGAGGAGGAGAAATGCATACAACTGTGAGAAGGAAAGAAATCGTGGCAAAAAAAAAAAAAAAGAAAAGAAAAAGAAAAAAAAATCCGTGAGAAGAGGAAAAAAATTTGGCTAAAAAAAAAGTTGCTTCTCCTGGCAGTCCTGGTTTGTCAAAAGGGGATGTCAAGCGCTTTACAATACCTGGGATTGATGAGGCGGGCGGGCCAATGAGCTGCGCTAGACGCCTCGGCGCGCCCTCCGTTGGCGCGACGGCTGCAGGCGGGGGGAGTGCTGGCGCACCAATGGGCGCCAGCGTCCGCAGCACGTGACACCTCCCCCTGCTCCCATTCATCAAGGGGGGGACGGTGTCGTCCTTTCAATTCATTTATCTGCAGGAATGATTGCTGCTATCAGTCTCGCGCTCACCGCCCGGCTGAGGAGGTGAAAGTTTCTCCCCAGGAAGATAAACCGCAAAAGACAATATTGTGCATGATTTGCGCCTTTTCTTTGGCTTTTTCTTTCTTTCTTCTCCCCCCCACCCACTTTTTTTTTTTTTTTTTTTTTTTTTTTTTTTTTGCAAAAAGCAGAGAGGGAAAAAAGGAGAGTGAAGGAGCAAGGAGGCGAGCCTGAGAGAAAGGAGATAGAGAGAAAAGAAAGGGCGAGGGGCTAGTGGAGAATTGAGAAAGGGCGCGCGGCGCGAGGCGGAGAGGGCGAAGCAACTACGGCTCTGGCGCTCACATTCCTCTATGCTACAAATCCAGGAGGAAGTTTTTTTGGGGGGCTGAGATGCTCCATGCCTTTCCCCGGGCAGCCTTGACACGCGGCCCTCTCGGCAGAGACTGAGCGGCGAGAAAGTGCGAGCCGGGCCGGCAGGGTCTGCGTGGCGGGCGCTAGAGCCTGCCTTACTCGCGGCCCGCAGCGGTCCGGCTACTTTGCGTTTGGCCGGGCCAGCGCCCCGGCGCGCGCCGTTGCCTGCAGGCTAGGACTTCGCGAGGTGGGTCGACTGCCCCTCCCTCCTCCTCTTCTTCCTCCTCTTCCTCCTCCTCTCGTTCCTCCTCCTCCTCCTCCTCCCGATTTTCCCTCTTCGGCTGGCGAGGGTGGGGGGGGCGGGGGAGGCCGGGGCTCGCCCCGAGCAGCCACGATGCTCCTGGACGCCGGCCCCCAGTACCCAGCGATCGGCGTGACCACCTTTGGCGCGTCCCGCCACCACTCCGCGGGCGACGTGGCCGAGCGAGACGTGGGCCTGGGCATCAACCCGTTCGCCGACGGCATGGGCGCCTTCAAGCTCAACCCCAGTTCCCATGAGCTGGCTTCGGCCGGCCAGACGGCCTTCACGTCGCAGGCGCCGGGCTACGCGGCAGCTGCGGCCCTGGGCCATCACCATCACCCCGGCCACGTCGGCTCCTATTCCAGCGCAGCCTTCAACTCCACGCGGGACTTTCTGTTCCGCAACCGGGGTTTTGGCGACGCGGCGGCGGCAGCCAGCGCACAGCACAGCCTCTTCGCTGCATCGGCCGGGGGCTTCGGGGGCCCACACGGCCACACGGACGCCGCGGGCCACCTCCTCTTCCCTGGGCTTCACGAGCAGGCTGCCGGCCACGCGTCGCCTAACGTGGTTAACGGGCAGATGAGGCTCGGCTTCTCGGGGGACATGTACCCACGACCCGAGCAGTACGGCCAGGTGACCAGCCCGCGTTCCGAGCACTATGCTGCACCGCAGCTGCACGGCTACGGGCCCATGAACGTGAACATGGCCGCGCATCACGGCGCCGGCGCCTTCTTCCGCTATATGCGCCAACCCATCAAGCAAGAGCTCATCTGCAAGTGGATCGAGCCCGAGCAGCTGGCCAACCCCAAAAAGTCGTGCAACAAAACTTTCAGCACCATGCACGAGCTAGTCACGCACGTCACCGTGGAGCACGTAGGTGGCCCGGAGCAGAGTAACCACATCTGCTTTTGGGAGGAGTGTCCGCGCGAGGGCAAGCCCTTCAAAGCTAAATACAAACTGGTTAACCACATCCGCGTGCACACGGGCGAGAAGCCCTTCCCCTGCCCCTTCCCTGGCTGTGGCAAGGTCTTCGCGCGCTCCGAGAACTTAAAGATCCACAAAAGGACGCACACAGGTACGGAAACCGCTGTAGGACCCCTACCCATTCCACTTG